CTCTGAGACCATTTCAGAGTCTGCAAGCTCTTCTCTTTTCCGACTGCGATCTGTACAAGGCTGGATTTTCTTCATATACCTCAGGCAAAACCAGCAAAAACAGCAGATGACTGTAGAAACAGATATGAAAACCCAACTGTCTTCTATGAAACCAGATATTAGACTTGTAAAAATGTAAAACAATGCCACTCTTCTCACTTTTCTGTTTTAGAAAATAGTTATTTTTCATAACCAGTATGTTGGTTTTATTAATATAATGGGTTTATTACTATCATTTTCAAATGAACTAAGTTAATATGTTTATAATTTTTGTTTTAATTTCTTTTTGTTTATTTTTTTAAAGATGACTGGTAAGGGGATCTTAACCCTTGACTTGGTGTTGTCAGCACCATGTTCTCCCAAGTGAGACAACCGGCCAACCCTACACAGGGATCCGAACCCGTGGCCTTGGCGTTAGCACCACACTCTCCCAAGTGAGCCACAGGCCAGCCCTTGTTTTAATTTCTAATATGCTAAATATAGGTAGAAAAACCTATATAACCCAAAGTTCTCTTGGGTACTCAATAATTATAAGATTGAGGTGGAGTCCTGGGACCAAAAAGTTTGAGAACCCTTCATCTGCATCTTGATTTCCTAAGATAGAATCAATAGATGATAAAATCCAAGTATTACTTTTTCGTTTTGTTTCTAAATTGTGGCTGATTTTTAAATTATGGTGTAGGGGAATTGGTGTTTGGTATTGTCTTACATTTTCATTATAAAGGAAATAGTGTTTAATGCTTTTATTGTTTCTGAGTACATATTTGTAATATTATATTTTGAAGTACTTTAACAACTCAAATACTTTATCAATACTTCATGTTAATAATATATCTCAATATTTTTGATTAGCTGTTCTTTATAGCCAGATAGAATACTTCTGGCTCATTTTTATTATGACATTGGGCCTTCAATTTTTTTTTTTTAATTTTTAGCACTTTTAAAATTTAAGTTCCGTAGATTATTTGTATTATAAAGGGAGAGATCTGGTAGTAATCACCTTAAATCAGTCATCAAATTCAGTAACACTGCTTATGGGACAGCCTGACAATATGTACCTTGTTACATGATACTATAAGTACACAACTATAAGTT